TGTGTTTGACTTGTTGAGGACATGCCAATTTATTGTTCACAGCGGCTGTACCACTTCTACATTCCACCAGCCACCTTTGAGGGCAGCCATGCCGGTTACACCAGCTAAGTGTTCTCACAGCTGGACAGCCTTCTCATCCCTACTGCTGTGGCCACCTTAGGAATGTTCTTTTGTCTCTTGTAATTTCTTTATTCCCCTAGTTCCTCCTCTCTCCCTTCTGTATTGAACAGTTATTGAAGTCAGAAGTGCACTTGATATTTCCATATTGAGAACTTCATATGGAGGATTAGTTAATTAGGTATTAGGAGACTAAAAAGCAGAAAGACAGCACTGAACTAATATGATAACATCCAGAAGTGGCTACCATCCCTGATAAAGAATTGCTGCAAAGATTTGGGGGATATTGAAATTAAAAACTCAGAATGTGCCCAATGGTGCAGAGGCTTCACCTGCAACTATTGCTGGTACCTCTGGGTATATGTGCTGAGCTAAAGCAATATCTGGAAGGAAAAAACAACAAACTCACCTTTTACAATTTGTTGCAATGCTTGCAGTTAGGATGGAGAATCTTAAGTGCCCCTTCCTACCTAAGCATTTCAGGGATAATTGGACAGAGTCCATGCAGTGTGCAGGACTCTGCAAGCTGGCTTTTGCTTGGTTGCCCTGCTTTACTCCCTGCTATTTGCTCTTATTCCCACTAAGCTAAGATGTATTGAACTCTTTGAATCTGTGGTACTTAGCATAGTGTTTCCTGCTTCTTGTACATTTTCTCTGCTGCTGTCTACGTGACCTCCTCCCCCTGTCTTTCTTGAGTCATATAAGCACACTTCATCTCTTGTACGGTACCATTGCACTTTGTACTGTTTAGTGGTAACATTTCCATTTCCTTAATTGCTTACATTCATTTCTTTTCCTCAGATTGACTTCCTCCATTTACAGGCTGAGCTGATTGTGCTGGTACACACTTGTAATTCTATCACTTGGGGACTGAGGCAGGAAGATTTTTAATTTGAGGTCAGTCTGGACTACATAGTGATACTGTCTCAGAAGAACAAACCCACCAGGCAGGCATGGTAGTACATGCCTTTAATCCCAACACTCGGAGGCAGAGGTAGACCATCTGTCTGAGTTCTAGGACAGTCTGTTCTGTATAGCAACTTCTAGGGCTACCTGTTCCAGGAAAAGGAAAAGAAAGAAAAAAGAGAGAGAGGAAGGAAAGAAGGGAGGGAAAGGAAAGTCAAAGATAAAACAGAATCTTTTTTTTTTTTTTTTTTAAAGAAAACAAAAACAAAAACTGAGTACAGATTGAATATCTTACATGGAATGCTTAGAACCAAAAATAAGTCATGCCAATGGATATCTCTTTGGGCCACCAGCTCACCAGAAAAAAAAAAATTAAAAAAGAAGACATGGAGACTTATTAATTATGAAAGCTCAGCCTATAGCTTAGGCTTGTCCCAGTAGCTTTTATAACTTAAATCAACCCATTTCTATTAATCTACATTTTGCCTCGTGGCTTTTTACCTCTCTTTCATCTTGCAACTGCTGTTTCCTCTCTGGGTCCTCTAGTGTTTCCCAAGCCTAGATTCATCTCCTCTTCTCTCTCTGCCCAGAAGTCCCACCTGACCTCTTCCTGCCTAACTATTGGTCATTTAGCTCTTCATTAAACCAATCAGAAGGTACCTTGGCAAAGACACACCTTCACAGCGTACAAAAAGATTATTCCACAGCAGTTTCAAATTTCAGTTTCTAGGATTTTTGGAATGGTTGTGCATTTTCACTGGTTGAACATCCAGTGTTTTAGACTTTAGAACATTTCTGGTTTTAGATTAGGGAGCTGTAAGCCTGGCCGAAGATGTGACCTTTAGGATCGCAGTGGCTGTCCTGGAGTACAGCAGAGTAGGTAGGAAAGCCATGTTCCCCTCCCTGCAGTTCTTTTTGTTTGTAAAGAGTCTCATATAGCTGAGTCTGGCCTTGAACTGAACTCAGTACACACCCTGACTTCCAACTCCTGATCTTCATGCCTCAGCCTCCCAAATGACTTCTGGGATTACAGACATGTACCCCTCAGCCCCAGTCTTGCCTGATTTTGTTCTGTTATTAATCATACCAAGCTGCTGTGAATATTTCTAGCTATCTGAGAACTGACCATACAACCTTAATAAACAGTGGTATAGAACACATTCTTTAATGGATTCAAATCTTGAGAAATGTAATAAATTAAAGTGCATGACTATTAACAGAGGAAGTAAATTTCATAATTTTTCCCTATAGATGTTATAAGCAGTGAAAAATACTTGTAATACATGTTAAGAAAACAGCAAACCACTACAGAAGTAAATCTTCAAATAACACATGAGCTGATATTTCAACAGTTCTATTCATAAAGAAAGGAAGGCACAGCCTGAAGGTGGAGATCGAATGAGATAGTACCTGCAATGTACTTATCATGCTGTGTGGCACATAAAGAAGGACTTAGCACACCTTGGCTGCTGGATTACTATTGATAGTAGTAGGAACCCTTTCAGCCAAAGTTTCATGAGCTAGTTTTCTGTTTACTTTGCCTGTTTTCCCAAGTTGATTATTCTAAAAAATGAGCATGCTGAATATATTCAGTTACACTAGAAAACTATAAACTGTTCTGGTCATTGAGTTTTCTTTGTCTTGAGTGGTTTGTCCCTCTCTGCCCCAATTCCTCTTAATGATTCCACAGATAAGTTTATGTTCATTACAACATTAAAGGCAGACAGGTGGTGGTGGTACATTCCTTTAATCCCAGCACTCAGGAGGCAGAGGCAGGTGGATCTCTGTTAGTTTGAGGCCAGCCTGTGAGAATAAGCTCTAGGACAGCGAAGTCTACACGGAGAAATTCTGTCTCAAAAAAAAGTCATACAAGTCAACATAAAAAAAAAGATACGAAGGAACCAAGGCATGGCTGAAGTAGGAAGATATAAAAACTAACATTATTCTCCAAAGAAATGCATGATAAAACCACACAAATTTTTAGCTTATCAAAATTATTTTTTAACTAGAAATAGGAAGTTTTTGTTAGTAGTGATGAATGGTTATATTCTCATTGTTTGAGAAAGTGATGTAATGCATATCCTTTGTGTACCAACTTTTTGCCTTTTTTTTTTTTTTTTTTTTTTTTTTTTTTTTTTTTTTTTTTTTTTGATACTGAGTTTTCTCAAGTAGCCCAGGTTAGCATTAAACTCACTGTATAATAATAACTCCCACTGGCCTCCTCCCTCCCTGGGATTACAGATGTGTGCCTCAAAGCCTGGCTGTTTTGTCATAACTTAACATTTGTACCTCATTTGATTTAGTTCTTCATGGTCCAAAATTTAAGATAGTTGAAAAACTCAGCTGTTCTTAGTCTTTTCCATATCATAAATGTTCTAAAATAGTACATGTTATTCTGATGATGTTTTTACATAAAAATCTATATTCTGTATGATTTGAATGAAAATACTAGTATTAAATTTGTTAGTATTTTATAGTTAAAAATGACTCCATTATCTTATTAAAATTTATAGCTTTTAAAAGCTTATCTTAAACTCACATTTGGTTCTAGAAGACACTTTAAAAAACTGAAAAGGATTTAAAACTAAACTGTTGATTTAAAAAACTCTTCATGCAAACTAATATATTGGAAGCAGTAGTTTTTGTGTGGTTTCATTTTAGATATGCAGTATCTTTAGCAGAATGTTGGAGAGGGGCTGGAACAATTTTAAAATTTTGAAGAAAACAGATCTTAAGAGGACAGGAAGGATACCTGCTAGGAACCAGTGGCTGCCACAGACAAGACAGCTGCCTGTGGACTAAGGGTGTCTGAATCTGTATCTGTATGTGTACTAGGGGACAACTAAGGGGTGGTGGTGGTGGATGCCTGGATTTCTGGTGCATTTTGAGAATAGATAATGATGTAATACTTTTAGTTATTGTTGAATACCTATGTAAATTTTTGTAACACCTTTTAGGATACCTTGCTAGTGGATAACTGTCATTTTTAAGTCAACTGTTATTTCCTTAAAATCATCATACATGCTGTTGTTTCAAAGGCTATGAACATTTGTAATGCTATAAACAAACAAACAAATAAATAAGTACAGAATTGCTTTCCAAAAGAAATGTGCCTCATTTTATCACCAGAAATGGTTTAATTCCACCAATTTTATTTTGAAATTTTATACTACCTCACAGAGGGAAAATATGGCACTTTGGCTGGGGATAAGAGGACTACATGGAATAACTTTTCCTTATTCTGTTACTGTGCTGAGTGAGTTTAAGTGACTTTTTTTTGTCCTAATTTACTGAGGATATTAGTAACTTGCTACCCTGATGTACCTTCTTTGAAGGCAGGAAATAACATTCATTTAAAATGTGAAATATTGGTGCTTCTCTTTGCTCCATCATTAACTAGTTTCCTTATAGAATCTATTTTAAATTGACTGAACTTTGGTATTGTGAACTTTGATAATGTGATGATTATTTTTAAGTAAGGAAATAAACAGTTTGTTTTCAGAGTACTTCAAATTTATGAAGTTACTTTACTGGCTTACCCACAGGGATTGGCAGATTTTTCTGGAAGATTTTTCTTTATGGGTCTTTGTCATATCATCTTTGGGGGCCCTTGACTTGTTGGTTTTTGTTTCTTTGGGTGGGGGGCATTAAGACAGTGTCTCACTATGGAGACTTGGCTGACCTGAAACTTGCTGTGTAGACATGCTAGCCTTGAACTCACAGAAACTGCCTGCCTCTGCCTCCCAAGGTACTTGCCGGACGGTAGTCATCTTAATGAGTGCTAAATGGTGTGTCATGGTTTGGGTTTGCATTTCTCTTAATGATGTCTTCAAGTGCTTATTGGCCATTTGTCTACTTTGGAGATTATCTGAAGTGCTTTTCCCATTTTGAGTGGGGGAAATCTGTTGCTGAGTTGGGTATGTCCACCTTTTTAAAGATGCACTATAATAACCCAGACTGTGTTTCTACCTTCTCAGGATTCCTACAGGAAACAAGTAGTAATTGATGGAGAAACCTGTCTCTTGGATATTCTTAATTCAGCAGGTCAAGAGGAGTACAGTGCAATGAGGGACCAGTACATGAGGACTGGGGAGGGCTTTCTTTGTGTATTTGCCATAAATAATACTAAATCATTTGAAGATATTCACCATTATAGGTGGGTTTAAGTTGAATATGAAAGTTGGCATTCAGAAGTAATGATAGCTTTCATTTATTGATTCTTTGCTAATTGTTATGCCCATATAATCTATTTAAATTTGAAAACATTTGTGTCACAGAATTCTAGTTTTACAAGTGCAGTTCTTAGGGCTTGCAGCAGTTGCATTACTTGTCCCAGCTTGTGCAGATAGTGGTAGTGCTGGCTGAGCACAGGCCCTTCTGAGGCCAGAGCCTTTGTTCTCATATTTCCCTGTACTAGAAAAATAAGGCTTTTAATGTTTTAGATACATAAAAATACCAACCAGAAACAGCAACCTGGAAAGATGCTTTGAGATGGTGCCACTCAGATGGTCTTAAAAGTAATCATATATTATTATAGAATTTCATGGGTTGGATAAGCATGTGGTTTTTTAAAAAATACATTTAGAGTGTGCAAGAGATTGAGAATTAGAGCAGTTACTTGTTTTTTATTTGAAAAGTGACAAATGTATATAAGATTACTTAATCATTCTATGAAATGTCTTCTACATCTTTCCTTGAGGGTTTACAGTAGTCATTACACTGTTCATTAAGCAATATCCCCCTTCCTGGCTGTGCCACGTAAGACAGTAGCATCTTAGTTAAGAGCAGTGGCCTGGTGATAGGGATGAAGTGAGTGGGAAGTACTTTTCTATAGTGGTGCAGAGGTGAGCTTTGTGGTAGCGACCACATGGGGATAGGAACCAGCTCTACTGTGCTTCCAAGTCGCATCTTAGACATTCACGGAAAGTTGTGAGGGAATACAATTTTATTCTAAGTTTAGAATTTATTTGCACATTACATTGACAACAACACATGAGAAGGACTTTTAAAGAATATACATCGTAGTTTCTTTAGTGTTATTCTTTTTAAAAAATCAAGTATTCAGGGCTGGAGAGATGGCCCAGCAGTTACTGACATGTGTTGCTTTTCTAGAGGACCCGAATTAATTCCCAGTGTCAGTCATTTCATGACCACTACAGCTCCAAGGAATCCTATACTCTTGACCTCCACTGACACCTGAACTCACATGCACATACCTATGCACAGACACATGTATATATGATTAAAAATTAAACTTAAAATCAATCTTTCCAATGATTATCTTTCTCTCTTGAGTAGTACAGTAGTCCCCCTTACCCATAGTTTAATTCTTTGACATTTACTCATGCTCACCAAAGTCTGAAAATACTAATTAGAAATTTCTAGGAATAAATGATGCCTAATCCTTGAATAGCTTCTATTACATACTGTTACAATTTTTGTTTTTTAGTCTCTTCCTATACTTATCAATTAGACTATATTATTGATATGTACATACAGGGGAAATAGTATATGAAGGGTTTGGTACCATCCCCACTTTGAAACATTCATTCGGGGTCCTCAGGATATTTTCCCACAGATGGCAGGAAGAGGTGCAAGTTGTGTGAATGCTGATAATTCATGTTGGGTAAAAACAAGCACAGACTTACTCTTGAGTCAGGGTTTCGCTATACAGCTTTGGCTGGCCGGGACCATACTCAGTGGGTGAAAATATTTTCAATTGTATGATACATACTTATGTATCATGTTTCTAAGACAATTTTAAACCAAATTTTGGTTTGGAACGTTCCAGTATGTTTCTTATTGTTGTATACACTCATGCGAATGAATCCTTTCTGTTGTAGTTGAGACTATCAGTATTTGAGTTTTGAACAGATATGTAAGATTTTTTGTCTTGGAGAAACAAGTAAGAGAAGCGAGGAAAATTTGGTATGGTGGAAACTGGAATTTATATGAAGAAAACTCTCAGTAAAGTTCTGTAGGACAGAAATGGAGGGCGAAGTTTGAAATATTTTGTGTCGCTCATGCTTCTGTTTCAAATTTGTTTTTTCCCCAGAGAACAAATTAAAAGAGTAAAAGACTCTGAAGATGTGCCTATGGTCCTAGTGGGGAATAAATGTGATTTGCCTTCTAGAACAGTAGACACAAAACAGGCTCAGGACTTAGCAAGAAGTTATGGGATTCCATTTATTGAAACCTCAGCAAAGACAAGACAGGTAAGTACAACTAGAACAAATGTAAGTCCTTGAGGGTGTGAAGGCTAGCATAACTGTTGTATTTTATCATTTAGTGTGATTCACCTGTCTTTCTCACTATTATCCTGACATACAGTATAAAATAATGTTTATTTGGCAAATGTCTTCTCTTGAGTGGACAGCACTTTTTATCCAGGTACCATGATATTCCTTTGAGGGTTTTGTTTGTTTGTTTGTTTTTGTTTTTTAATTTCTCTCTCTTTCTTACTTTTTCTTTCTTCTTGTTATGGCAAGGACTGAAATAGGGTCTCTCTATGTTCCCCAGCCTGGGAACTGACTCTCTTCTAGATGCATGCTTACAGGTATGCTCCACTATGCCTGGTATTTTGTTTTCTTTTCATACTGAAAATTTTTCTTAGAGTACATTTTACATTTAGGATTCAAGAATTAATGTGGGAAAAAATTCCCACTTAAATGATAAAGACAAATAACAGTGGAATCAATTTTGAGTGTACTATTTTAAAAGCAGTTTTAAGAATTCATGTTTCACCTGGGTGTGGTAGCACACACCTTTAATCTCAGCACTCAGGAGGCAGAGGCAGGTGGATCTCTGTGAGCTCAAGGCCAGCCTGGTCTATAGAGTGAGTTCCGAGACAGCCAGGGCTACACTGAGAAACCCTATCTCGAAAAAACAAAACAAAAAAACAAACTGAAAAAACAAACAAAAAAAGAATTTATGTTTCTAGATTAAATTTTGTTATATTTGAAGAATTATATTTAGGCAGAAATTTGTTGGAGATCTATTTCTTAGAAAGAAAGTTGTTATTAAAATAAGGGAATATTTAGAAAGTGAATAGACATTCTTAAATTACTCACTACATTGTTCTGACAAAGGTACATGTCAGAGCCTGAATTTTGTTTCAAAATCATCTTCATTTTAAAAATAATTTTAAACTTCAGTTGATAATTACATCATTTGTTTGCAGTAACAATTTAGCATATAGGAAAAAGAGTCCTAGAAATGAGTTCATAAAGACTTGATGGAAAACAGTTTCATGTACTGGGTAATTAGTCAACTTATAGTTCATAAATTTATTTGGAGCTTTTATGGGAACCTCCATAAAATGATTTTATAAAGTTCAACTTCTGTGATGAGTTTTTAAAAAATTGAGGAGCACTTCATTTCATGACCAAGTATATAAGAGTCATCCTAGAAATGTTACTGAATTTTGTGAGAGATGTAAAAATTTAAACAAATTTCAAACATGCAGCTGGATGGAGAAATACAAAGAAAATTTCCCTAGGAGGTCATAATGTGCCTCTTGTTTGTACAGATAGGGTGAATATTGAAATAAAATAGTGAATTCTGTTTGAAGGCTTCATTTGAATTAAAAAATGAATTTCTGTAGTTTGGCTGTCACATGGGTGTCTCCTGGGTGCCAGTGTGTTCTTAGTTGACTAAGACTTGACAGAGATCTGATGTTCATTACTTGGCTTCACGATAGAGGAGTTGTTTCATTCATGTCCATCCCATGCTCTAAAGACAGGAAGAGGTTTGATTCTGTGTTCTATTTCCTTGTCCTCTCTGACCAGTCTCCTGGATTTTCCTCAGAAAGCATTTCAGAAAACAGAATTATAGTAATATCTGTGACTTTCTTTTACATTAGAAACACTTCTTTTGAAAGGATTCAAATATGAAATGTAAGAATTTTTTTGAAAACATCTAAAAACCTACTATGTAGACTTGACCATTAACATTTTACTACTTGCATTGTTTAAACTTATGAAGAAAGATGCCTTTTATACTAGTGATCATTGTAGCTGACATTTCACAAAGAAAAGGAAAAGCCCGAGACACAGAAGAGCCTCGCATACTTGAACATGCACACAAATCGGCTGACCTTTTCAAGTCAAAACCCAAACTCTAATCCAGGTGGTTTGTGTTGAAGCCCGTGGTCCTGCACTTCTTTGCACTTCTGTAGTGCTGGCTGAGGAGAAAGGCCACAGAGCACAGTGCAGAGAGACTCCTGGATATCTTAGTGTTGCTCTCCACTTCTCACTTGAGAAGAAATTAAAATAACTGCATTGAATTTATTATTTGTGTGTGACAGAAATGCTTTAGTGTACTATGTTCATAATTGATTAGAACGCTGCCTGCTTCCTTTTAAAATAGCCTTTTAGCTTTAACAGTGTGTATTCTCTGTCTCTGTCTCTGTCTCTCTCTCTCTCATACCTACACACCTTTTAAGATTTTTTTGCTTTGTTCATTTTTGTATGGTTTTAGTGTTTTGACAGTTGTACAGCCCAGGCAAATCTCAAACTCATTATGTAGCAGATGCTGGCCTTGAACTCTTGCCTCTCTACCTCCCATGTGCTGGGATGACAGGCATGTGCCAGCTTACTTTGTCAGTTTAAAGACATATGGTACAGAAATTAACTTAAATTTGCTTAGCTTAAATTTGCCTTTTAGATAGTTAGTTTGAGTCATCTAACATGTATAGAGGTAAGATACACAAGAAATTCTTAAGCTATGCTTAGCCCTTGTATTTATACCCTATTCTGTTGGTCTCTTTTATGTAACAGTATGTTGCTAAACTATAACTTAGATACTCATTTTTCAATGTACTTGATTTGTTTAGAAATTAATTTGCTTTGAAGAGTCATTAATATTTCTTGAAACTGATATTTATAAAGTTTTAGAAGATTCTAAAGAGCTACTCCAAATAATTTTGGTAATTTATAATATACAGTGTACATTTTAATAAATTTTACATCTCCAGTTTTTGTGAAAATTTGAAGCTCCTTTTGGGGGAGTATTTTGTTACTATCTTTTATTTGCTTATTTGTTATTTTAATTAAATATATATGTCCTTATTCTATTTTGTTAGCAACCTGTTCTTGTTCATGAGCTTAACAAAAGCACCAAAAAAAAAAAAATGTATTTATGGTAATAGGAACTGAACGTTCATTCAGAAGTTCTCAAAGATGTAAGTCATGGCACGGCGAGCATTTTTTGCAGGGGCCCAGATAGTGACGTGGTGTTTTAACACATCATTTTCCCTAAGAAGCCTTGAAAATATCATACTCCTTGTCAGCTTATACCAGAACAATTGATCCTGCCTATAATTGGCTGGAATATGCTAATTTCAACCTCTAGGTTATAGTTGATGAGATTCTAGTAGTTACACAAGACCCTTGACCTAAAAGTTACAACCTGATTTTACCATTTTAAAGCGAAATTTGTGTATTTAGTGAAAAAAAAAAATATATTTTACTACTTTTTAAGATAAGGGTTGCAGAATATATTTTTACCAGTACATTACTTGCTAATTTTAAAATACACATTAACTTACCAGTATATAATGGTAGATAGGTAGGTGATAGGTAGGTAGGTAGGTAGATAGATATATAGATAGATAGATAGATAGATAGATAGATAGATAGATAGATAGATAGATATCGGTGATTGGTAGATAAATAGATAGGTGGATTGATTGATTGTGTGTGTGTCCGTCCGTCTGTCCCCATCCCCAGTCCCTGGGACTACGGATGTGTGGCATTGTGCTTAGCTATTTTTGTGGTTTTATCTGAATGGGTAAAGAAACTAAATTAAATTTGCTGGTATGCTATTATGTGGCCCTGATATTCATAGTCTAGAAAGATTGATACTTCACAATTATCAAGACACTTAGGAACTGACAGATTTTTCTGATTCCTTTGGACTTCATGTCAGAAAAGGCTGTTGAGACTGAAACCCCTAACACCTTGAGATTCTAACACTTTGAGATTAGTTGTGAGTTTGCCAGGCTGCTAAAAACAAAAGTCAGAGTGACTGGTGTCAGGTAGATGATAAGCAGGGGTCTCAGAATAGCCAGTCTAGCTTTTTTACATTTGGTGGTCTTGATTTGAGCAATGTAAAGTTAGTTTCCAAACTTAAAAGTCACCCAATAGTCATTAATTTCTTGGTTTGTTGTTAATTTCTAGATATATAAAATTAGTTGATAGAAAGCCTCTCAGAAAGAAAGCTTATCATAAAACTGTTTAAGAAAGCAAAACAAATTTTAAAACCTCAGGTACCTTATCTAATAATTGTTCTTTTCCCTGTGAGGTCAGTGTTTTGAACTTGGAGTTAGAAGTGGACAGTTACTGAACACTTGCTGTGTGGTTGTACTTCAGTAGTCCTGAGATGGGTTATAGTTTGACAGGGCTTCTGGAGGAAAGGCAGGGAGGTGAGGTTGGTACTGGGAACTAGGTCTGGTTTCTCCACCCCTCTCCCAGAAGGCCAGTGTGCTTGTGTGAAGCCACAGTTGGTGCTACATGCATGTCATTCCCTTGACAGAATTCTGCACGGTGTTTTGCAGATTCAACAGGGAAGAAAACAATGATAAAAATGCACTTACTGAGAGCAAATGAAAATGTTTGTTAGCAGGTCTCTAAGGGGGTGCTCTGTTTCCATAGTCTCGTCTGCTTTGTGCTCAAAATATTGTCAGAACTCTGTTTAAAAAAGAATTACATACTTAAACTTGAATACTCTTGTTTATACATAGATATTTTCATTTTCCTTTAAAGTGAGCAAATGTGGCAATAAGTTATACCCTCAAGGACAAACCACTATGCACCTTAAGGGTTTAACAAGGAGTTGTAGTTATCTTATTTTTAAATGTTACTTCAAAGTTCAGAATATTAAAATCAGTAGTCTACATTATAGTCATGTACCATATGTAGTGTTTAGAAGTAAGAGAGAGTGCTGGTGGTAGGATGAGGGTAAATAACATTGTTTTCAAGTTCTTGATGTCAGTATAACTTTGAAGCTTATTTTCAAGGAATAACTAAGTATGGAAAATGTGGTAAATAACTTTTAAATTTAAATTTTATATTCATAAAACTAAGAAATGGAAAGTTTTTCTGTAGTAACTATTTTTTGTGTTATTAATTATCTTGGCCACTGAGATCCTAATACTGAATTCCTGGTGATGGGTAGTTGTCTCTTTAATTACTGGCTTCCAATTCTCTCTCTGCATTGCTGGAAACAAAAATCAAATATTCTTGTATTGGTGATGGGGATGCTCACACTAAAAAAGCAGACACATTAAACTGTTAAACTCAAATTTTGCTTCTGTTAAATTAGAGGACAGATCCCTCTTTTTCCTCCCTTCATAGCACATTGACCTCTACATTGACATTGTAAGTTTTTTTTAAAAAGAAGGAATAAAGATGTACATTCTTTAAGATTTTAAGAAAATATGAGCTTTTGCCTGGTTTGTCTCTTTCTCTGTATAAATAAATATATAAATATATGGAGAATTTCTTTCGTTGGCTTTCAAGTTAAAAGAGAATAATTATTTATGAAAATATAAATTGACTAGTCTTGCTTTACATTTTAAATGCTTTGCAGGTAATTTATCTTAAATAACTTATTTTATATAATATGAACATTTTTGATATCTTTTTGAAGAATGAATAAATAGTAAAACTTTTGCCTTGAGAATGAATGATAAAACTACTGAAAACTAGTACACGCAGATACAAGTGGGGATGTATTTTAAATGCCACATTTAGTGATTTTTAAAAGTTGAAAATGTTTCTTCCTCTGTAGGATAAGTAGTTAGTTGATTAAATTGATTCTATTAAAATAAGATTGGATTGGAGAGCGGGAGAGATGGCTCAGGTATTAAGCATGCTCTACAGCGGGCAGTGGTGGCACACACCTTTAATCCCAGCACTCAGGAGGCAGAGGCAGGCGGATCTCAGAGGCCAGCCTGGTCTGCAGAGTGAGTTCCAGGACAGGCAGGCCAGACTGTAATACAGAAAAACCCTGTCTCGAACCCCACCCCCCCCAAAAAAAAAGAGTGCTTGCTGCTCTTTGAGAGGACATGACTTTGGTTCCTGCCTCCCACTTGGGTGGCTAGCAACCACCTGTAACTCCAGCTCTGGCCTCCAAAGACACCTGTACACACATTGAAATATTTTTTAGAAAAGATTTTTCTAGAACTATAATAATTTTTATTATTAGATCATTTTAAATGAGTATTTTTCACTGGATGGCACATGGTATTAGCCAGAAGTATATATTTTAATATGGAATCATTATTTAAATGCCTGCTTGTTTACTGAAACTCAATTTTATGAATTTTAAAGGTAAATTACTGACCTTCACTGAAGTGGTTCTTAATACATTCTTGAGATTTGTAAAACTTAATGTGCCCTAAATAATTGAAGTATCTTTTTCTTAACTGTTGAAGGCAGCAAATGAGTTACACATGCAAAAATCAATCCTTTGTTGTTGACTTACTGCCCTCAATACCGAATGCCTGATTGAATTTAAAATTATAAATTGTTTTTGTTATATTAGCTTCTTAGGTGCTAGATACATTTATCACATTTGGTTCAATGAAAACTTTGATTTTTACCAATTGTAGAAAAATAATATACCAGTCCCCTATGTAAGCAATTCATTATTAAAATGAAATAAAATGTTTAAAATTAAATATGTAGTAAAATATGCCAGCTTTCCTAAGTATTTATCTTTTTTTTTTTTATTTAAAGAAGAATGGAATATTACATCTGAGGTTGAATTTGTACTACATGTATGTGAAGTTTCTGGACTTCTCTTAGATAAACTTCTACTTTGGTGGTGCATTTTTCTGATGAAATTAGCATTACAGTTATAAGTACTTTGTGCCTTTTAGGCTATTGCCTAATTTTCTGTTTTGAGAAAGTTGAAAACCTTTCTCTCCCTAAAGGCTGTTTATGATTCTCCTTGCTATAGCTTTATACCACAGCCTTGAGTCAGAAAACCCCATTAGAGGGGCTGGAGAGATGGCTCAGCAGTTAGGAGCACTTCCTGCTCTTCAGAGGTTCTGGGTTCAGTTCCATACAAGTGGTTCACAGCCATTGTGACCCAGTTCTAGGCCATCTGATTGATTCTGACCTTGAAGGCACCAGGTGTGCACAAAGTGCACAGACACAGATGCAGTCAAAACACTCATGAACATAAAGTACGGCACATTCTCACATAATTACAAAGAACCCCCTTAGCCAGTGTTGTCTGGGCAGTTCTCTGCAGGCTGTTTGAGACTTGTATAAGATACAAAAGGTTTGCTCCTATCATTTATTTCAAATAGTTTGTGGAATTTCTTATTTTGGTAAATAACTCCTATTTTAACTTATTTAAATACTGTAATTACCCATCCACTGTGTACCAGTCTCAGATGGACATAGGGACTTAGAAATTGATTAGAAAGTACCTAATTGAAGATGAAACTGGAGGTTCCAGTGTCTGGACTCACCTTGGTTGGGACATGGGTTTTGGGTTTGGTTTTAGCAAGGCTTCATGTCCCTAGTCTGCCTCTCACTCTGCTCTCCAACTGGGTGGAAGGTGACATCTGTGGTGTATGGAGATCACTTGTCTTCCTTTGTCCAAGGCAGTTCCTCAAACTTCAGTTATTGTATTGAGAAACAGAGACAGACATACAGTTAGGCTTTTTACAGTCTCCTCTGATTCCTAATTAAAAATGTTAAACTCTTAATTCCAATAAAAAAATTAAATACTTTTGAGAACAAACCAGGTTCTAGCTCATGTTTTAAAGCCGCATCCTCAATTTTATTCAATCTGATGTCTGCTTAAAAGAAAAAATTCTCAACTATAAAGCTCATAATTCAAATTTCTTACACATGGCTATCCCAGTAAATTACTCTTCCAAATGAAACAGACTTTAAAGAAGTTGTGTTTTACAATGCAGAGAGTGGAGGATGCTTTTTATACATTGGTGAGAGAGATCCGACAGTACAGATTGAAAAAAATCAGCAAAGAAGAAAAGACTCCTGGCTGTGTGAAAATTAAAAAATGCATTATAATGTAATCTGGTAAGTTCAGCATATTCATTTTGGTACAAAGCAGATGTCTTTCAAAGGTAACAAAGCAGTCAGAGTGACTGGATATGGTGTTCTGCTTTGAAGTGCTAAAAGATAAGAAACTTGTCATTTGTTTCTGAGTACATTTATTTTACAAGTGATTATTAATTATAATTGACACCTTTTGATGGCTACAATAGACTAATATGCATTTGTAATAAGCTCTAATGACTTCATTAGTTTTAACTAAGTTAAGCATTTGGGAACTGTTAATTTATTTTTAAGGGAAATCAGATTTAAGTTTTAAGATAGCCAGCAACTTTTGAGTAAAAAATGTGTAATAATAATAATATGGCCCAGAGGTGGGAAAGGGCCTAACAAGTTAACTGTTTCTGCCTGTGCTTTGTAGCTAGGAGCCAACAGCACTTCCTACCCAGTGAGATCTGAGTGCTTTTGCATGCTCTTGCACCCATTTAGAAGCAGCAGTAGAAACAGCAATTCCTATGATACTGGTCTGCCACATTCTTTCTTAGTTCAGGCCTCTGATTTCTCTTGTGCTGTTTACTTGTAGCTGCTGTCACTCACTGTTCATGTTGCTTGAGAGGAATGCCAGTCTCCTTGTCAATCTAGTCACTTCTTGATACAGTGATCACAGCTTCAGGATCTCTACACATACCTCATATGGTCCTTAACACTCTCCCTCCTCTCTAGCCTTTTGGAACTTTATATCTGAAAAAATATCATCTTGACAGTTTTGTTCGTACATAGACACCATGTTAGCCCTGCCTACCCTTCAGTCCTGCCCCTTGTTTGGATCACCAGTATTCTTATCCCTAGTTTGATGAACCAGCTCACATGTGATTCCCAAATCTCTAAGAATCTCTTCAACCCTTAAAATGGGCATTGTGGCTTTGTATATTTCCAGTATACTATTTTTAACTATATGTCTTTCTATGTTGCATTGAAATAGCTTATGTTTTATTCTTTTATTAGACAATAGAATTCTAAAGCTGGACCATATATTTTAATCTTTGTGTGTCCATTGTATGTTGAAATTCTTGGCACATAGGTACTTCCTAGTAAAGACTGAATGGACCCTTTGGCTTTCCTGTCAAAGTATAATCTGGGTTTGACAAACCCAGATTATACTTTGTCCAGCTCAGCAAATTCTTCACTCAGTGAGTTGACATTTGTGGAGGCTGTTGCCATATATATGTCCCTTGAGAACGTGAAACAAAATTAGTGTTTAAGACTACTAAGAGATGTAAATTCAGAAACAAAGCAATACTTGCATGGATTTCTAAAGGGATTATGAACTCTTAGAATTTGTACCATTGTATAAAACCATACTTCAGTTTTGAAAATTGTGATACAATTTAACATTAAAAATGCAATTTGAAAAGTTAATCTTTGAAGTAAGTGTCATGAGCAGATTTAAGTGGTGATTTTAAGTTTATTCCCCCTTTCTACACCCTCACTCTTAGATTATTTTAAAACAGAACAATATTTAGAGTATGTGGTACACCTAACATTATATTCAAAACAAAGGCAGAACCACACACTGCTCTAAGTGTCTAAAAGATGCAGTTTGTAGCACTGACTGGCCTGAATGTTAATAGTTGACCCTATGAATTGAATCATTGTGATTTTAGTGCACATAGCACTTTCTTTATAAAGAAAGGGTATGTTTTATGATATTTAAAATTATAGTTAGATAAATATTTTAAATTTTTATTTAATAATGATAAATATATACAAATTAGTTGTTCATAGTCTTAGAAAAGGAGTAAGTGAAAAAAAATTACCAGAATATGAGCTGTGACTTTATGAGAATTAGTTCCCACAAGAACAAGGAGTCCACTGCCCTGTGTACATTAGCTATGACATTTCTAACTTTGAAGTCACCTAGTTAGAATTAATGCAGCTTGAGGCTAACAGTCTGTCAGAACCTGAGAAGAGGGTAAATGCTGTTAAATTCCGTCTTCCTTGTCTCTTCAATGCTTGTAATTTATTCCACCTTAAAGAGTTTCTTACAGCTGTCCCTCTCAGGATTTTAATTTTTCTGCATCATTGTTTTAGTAGTATTGCTTTTTCTCCATTATGAAAATACTTGAGGGTTAATAAATAAGATGGCTGTCAAGCCTGAGGGCCTGAGTTTGATCCTTCAGATCCACTTTGTGGGAGAAGAGAACCTGCAAGTTGTCCTCTGACCTCCATGAGTGCCATGCCATGCACACAAACACAAACATAAATGAATGTAAATTTTTTTAAACTGTTGAAATAGAGTAGGTAACATAATGTGTGATCAGAGGGAATTGATGAAGGTTAGAAGGGAGTTAGATAAGATTCCATCTCGGGCTGGGGGATGGTTCAGTGAATAGGCATGCTTGTTGCACTAGCATGAGCACCTGAGTTCAGATCCCTAGAACTCACAAAAAGCTGGTCAAATAACACCTGTAATTCCAGCATTGGGCAGGGGCCAAAAGTAATCAGTGGAGTTTGCTGGTCACCAGCCTAGCTCCAGTCTCATTGAGGCACTTTGCTTCATGGGAAGAAGATGGAGAGTGATGGAAAGACTCCCAGTGTGCTCCTCTGACCTCCACTTGAATACATAGGTACCCCCCCTCCCCACACACCCATATCTCCCTCTCACACGCATACATATGCAGACAAAAAGATTCCATCCAATTCCAAGGGTCTATGACCCTCATCCAATTCCAAGGGTCTATGACCCTAAGTCATGAAGTGCCAGTGAGTTATAGATACTTTTATATATTATGTCATTGGAAGGGTTTTTCACTGTGTGTTAAGGATAGCATGGAAGGAAGTATCTGTCTGAATGGATCTCACAGTCTAATTAAGCCTGACTGTATTGCTTATGTTCTGTCAGTAATGGTTTTCAGCAGGTGAAAAGCACCAGTGAGTGCAGATTGGGGGTTTTGGGCAATATATATTTATTCACTTGTATTCAAATAGACGATACTGACTTATGCTGTTTCTGTCTATGAAATGTGAGCAAACTACAGTGCCTTTTAACTGTACTGGTCATGCTTTCCCGAATTAGAGATTAGTTGTCAATATGAGTTAACTGTAACTTGAAAGTATTCAGGTGGCTTAAATGTGGTGGGTACTTGTTCTCCAGACTCCCTCTATTGTCTAGGTTTGGAAGCATTATTAGGTTAAAATTTCTTTCTGTAGTTCCTACTAGGATGAACAGATGAAATAAAGCATGGCCACTTTTTTCTTCAGCTTCACTTTTGCTTTTAACACAGATAAGGCAAAGGACTGACTCCAATGTGAACTTGTATATTGAAGGTCTAAAGTCAGTTCTACTTATAGAATGTACTTTTCATGCCAAGGTCTAGGAGGTTGGGAATTAATCTGACATAATCAGTTTTAGTCACAACTAATTTAGGTGTTTTGCTTTAATGACACATAGATATATGCCTTAATGACTAATATTGAATGTTCTTTGAAGATGAGCATTTATATGACAAATTTTGAATGGCTGAACAGTAACTTAAACAGTCAGAGAATCTTTTTCAGTGTGGTCAAGTACACCACCTCGCAGACAACTTTGCTCATTGCCAGAGGTTGGGGCATTGCATCTTTCAAGGCAGCAGTTCTTAGAGTCCTATGGCTTCCTGTTTAAAGTCCAGAAACTTGGGACAATTACATTGTATATACAAAGGCACACCTACCATACAGAGCTGCAGGCATTGGAAATTGAGTGATGAATTGGCTAATCGGAAAAAATTAGTAGAAAATCAAGTCCTTTGGGGAAAAAATAAGTCATTTGTTAAGCGTATGTAATGTTCTGTGCCACTTACTATTATTGTGTGTTGTGAAAGTTAGGAGTTTCTATTTCTGTAGAATACTAGGGTTGGAGAGATGGTTAAGTGGTTAGAGCGCTGGCTGTTCTTCCCTAGGACTTAGCCACCCAGCACCCACCCGGCACTAACAACTGTTAGTAACTCCTGTCCCTGAGGATCTGATGCCTTTTTCTGGCCTCTGTTGAGCACTGTACTCACACGATGTACAGACATACATGCAGACAAAACACTCATACATAATAAGTTGTTTTGAATATCATAATAATTTTAATTATTTAAAATTTTTAAAGATGTCAGAGTATCTATGAAGAGATACTTAGTCCTAACATTCTGGCCCATTCATCTGCCAGAACATCAACATAAACTGGACTTACTCTTTGTTAGTATTAATGTTTCCATCAACAATGAACGTCTGTCATTGGGGCACCTCAGACCATCATATGCATTAACATTTTAATTCCTTTTTATATATTTCAGGGTGTTGATGATGCCTTCTATACATTAGTCCGAGAAATTCGAAAACATAAAGAAAAGATGAGCAAAGATGGTAAAAAGAAGAAAAAGAAGTCAAAGACAAAGTGTATAATTATGTAAATACAATTTGTACTTTTTTCTTAAGGCATACTTAAGTAAAAGTGGTAATTTTTGTACATTACACTAAATTATTAGCATTTGTTTTAGCATTACCTAATTTTTTTTTTCTGTTCGTGCAAACTGTTAGCTTTTATCTTAAATGCTTATTTTAAAATGACAGTGGAAACCTCTTTTCTCTAAGTGCCAGTATTCCCTGGGTTTTGGACTTAAACTAGCAATGCCTGTGGAAGAGACTGAAGACCTGAGACTCTGTCTTGGGGTTTTGGTGCATGCAGTTGATTCCTTGCTAATTCTCTTACCAGCTGTGAGTGTTGGTGTGAACCAGAGTAATGAAGCTTTTGAACCATCCCTGCTCTGTGTTTCATCTAGTCACTGAATGAATTAATTAGTAATTACAGCTTCATCTGAAACCTTATGGTTGGTTCTACTAAGACTGAGGGATCACAGATTTATGGGCTTCCCTTTGATTCACTTCTAGCATGTCCGAGAGTTTATCATCCTTCATAGTGTAGTTAGTTAGACTGTTCACAAAGGCTTTGTCTTGCTTTCCACTGCTATTAGTCATGGTCATTCTCCAAAATAGTATATTTTTTCTAGAAAAGGGGAAAAATGAAAAAAAAAAAGCAATGGAAAATATTGAATAAAAGTCCATTCTATGTTAGCTAAATTACTGTAAGATTCCTAGTAGCTTTTCCTGGTAAGGCAAACCCAGTAAGAAATAATAACCATTTGGGCTATATTTACATGCTACTAAATTTTTGTAATTCAAACAATTTTAACATATATAAAAAGTTCTCATAAGAATTAGTATAATCCCCTTTGTCAGAGTGTTCTTTCTTAGCCTAACTATTTTAAGTCTTTTTTGAGCTTTAGTCCTTAAAAGTAGCTTTAATTTTGGTTGAGAAGTTTAAGATGATTTGAGACAATTACAGCTTAGCAGGCGTTGAGATCAAAGTTGCAAGGCTGGGCTTTATGTGGACCTGTGATGAGCGTTTCTGGGTTTTATAGTGCTGCTGCATTCAGTGTTGGTCAAAATGGGGGACAAGGAGAGTTTGGACAGCTCAGTACAATTCATTCTCTTCATATAACAATCCTGCTGACAAATCAAGAATGTTTCTTTTGTTTATAATAATAATAATAAAATTTAAAAATAAATTTCAGTGTTAGCTTCGAGGCTGAGATTTGGGGGTAGGAGGCTACAAGGGGAGTAAATCTTGAAAAGAATGAAGTATGAAATTTTGAAAATGCATGGTTGACTAGTCTCTCAACTGTGAACAAACATTGCTAAGTACTTCCCAAATTTGATATGTATTTATCTAATGCTTTAAGAATAGATAAGTTAACAGCAAAAAACAATCCCTTCAATGCACTTAAAGCACTCCTTCAAATATTTGAAGTGATATTAAAATCCACTGGACTATGAGGACTGGATGTCTGTCTTTTGGAAGTCTGATTTTAGGCATATCACTGTCTACTTAATATTAAATCATCTCAAAGACTCTTCACAGCTGTGTAATTTATAGTCCGTTTACACACTGATACACCGAGTTGTCAAACTCAGCACAATCTGTAACTTTTTTACATGAATTATCATCTTCACTGCCAGTCTTATGCAAAATTGTGCAAGAGGTAAAGTTTGTATTTCAGGATCAATTCTCCAGTTTCAGGACTCCCCTCCAACATATGCCCCTTTTAATACTTCAAGTTTTATTTCTGCAGTGAACAACTCCATGAAAATTGCCCACTAAGGGAAGGTACATCAAAGCTGCCTATGACTTTCTTTCCCAGGGCTTAAATAATCCAACAGAAACCATAGTGGGATTTGAACTAATAGCTGGTTTTCAGGTGGCCACTACAGAAATTTAATCTTGATCCTTTGGACTTCATGCCTGCAGCCCAGTCCCCTCGTGGCTAGGTAGGAATTTTCAAATTAGTGTGAACAGACAGAACACTGTGGAAGGAGAGCTTAATATTCATCTAGGTTTCATCCTGGTTGATAGAGTCCATTGTTTTAATAAATACAGTCTAATAGTGAAAAACACTTTAAGTTTCAATCATAAAGTTTATTTTTAAAGTCAGAATTTATTTACTCAGCATTTATTTGTGCTTGTCTTATGCTGGGCACACACAAGGTACTGGGGATGTGATGTAGTATCCCCAGAGAAGGGACACAATCCTTGGCCAGTGGTATGTAGTGTGTGCTGTAATACTTTAGTAAGGTGTATGGCACATGACCTAGAAATAATAGAATACATGGTCTTAGTTTTACAGAGAGGAGTTTGTTCTCATATTTTTCTCTCAATTAAGCAAGAATTGTTTGTTGTGATTCCAATGCAACTCTTTAATTGAGCTGCTTTATGTAATTATTTCATTTTTCTAAAAAAATAGAAATTCCCTAATCTAGTTATCTCCTTAAGTAAATAATTAAAAAGAAAAACCTTACAAAAATTAAATATTGACTTCTAAAATAGCTTTATTTGGGTACAAATAAGCAGGAACCTGAGTTTATTTGCAATAAAGGAAATAAAATCAGTATGATTTCTGAAATGCTCTAAACTATAAATGTTCATAGAACATTCTTTTGGTGAATATTAAGTCTTTTTTTGGGAGGGGGTGGCGTCCAAGACAAGGCTTCTCTGTGTAGCCCTGTCATGGAACTTGCTTTGTAGACTAGGCTGGACAGAGATTAGCCTGCCTCTGCATCCTGAGTGCTAGGATTAAAGGTGTGCACCACCACTGCCAGGATATTAAGTCTTAACACAATTCGTAATACTATACAAGGAACAGGTGTACTTAAGGAGCTGCAGTGCATAGTCAGATATCTACTGAAGACAGTGGAATTTTTAATGTTTCTGGGCAATGTGTTGAAGTAATGGTAATTACCATTATGTAAATTTTGAATTGTTAGCCTTTGTTAATAAAAAGGTTTTGTAGAGTTTTTTTTTTAAGGGAAAAAGTCCTAGAAACAAACATAAATGCTGTCTAGTTACTATAGCCTTAAGTTCATTTGAAATTGAACACCCGTGCTAAATCAGTCATAGGCATGGACATGTTTGTGGGAAGAATATAGCAGACAAATACCATTGAGTAAATGTTTTCAGTCAGGAAGTCGAGGCTCTATTGACTGAGTCACACTGCATAAGAATTGAGATCCTAACTTTTATAGATTATTAAGACCTTTGCCACCATTGCACAATTTCGTCTAACATACAAGTTCTGTGAGGCATGTTTAAAGTTACAGTTTGCACAAATTCATCTCATTTTGTATTCCACTGATTTTCCATTATTTTTCCCCAAACAGTAGTATATATTTAGGAGGGGTTTTTGTAGGCAACAAAAATTTAAACTCCATTTGTTAAAAAGTAGTGACTTCTTGATAATTGTGTAGTCATTTTTTAAGACCCAAGAGTTACTTTAAAGGTGAATTTATACTTAATAACTTCTGTGTAATACTGGGTAGCATGAATTCTGCACTGAAAAACTGAACAGATACACCCAGTAGCTGTAAAATTCTGTCAAAACACGAAAATTATTTCTAAAGAAGTACACTAGTTTTCAAAGAATAGCTATTAATTAGATTCAGATTTGTGGTTTAGTTTAATAGTTTGAAGTGCCTGTTTGGGATGGTGGTAGGCATTTTAGATGAATTTGGGAAAAATAAAGTTCTCCACAGAAATGCCAGTTTCAGACCCACCCACCCCCAACCAGCTAAGTGGGCCATATGCTGATTTATCTCCAGGTCCCTAGTTCCACTGTCTCATGTTGAAAACACTTCTGCATTTTTATTTGAGTGCCAATTTCTTACTAGTGCTATTTCCTAATGTAACATGTTTACCTGGAATGTATTTGAACTATTTTTGTATAGTGTAAACTGAAACATGCACATTTTGTACATTGTGCTTTCCTTTTCTTTCATTTTCTTTTTCCTTCCTTTTTTTTTTGTGTGTGTGTGTGTGGGGGACATATGCAGTGTGATCCAGTTGTTTTCCATCCTTTGGTTGTGCTGACCTAGGGAATGTTGGTCATATCAAACATTAAATTTAAAAATGACCACTCTTTTAATTAAAATTAACTTTTAAATGTTTATAGGAGTACGTGCTGTGAAGTGATCTGAAATTTGTAATATTTTTGTCATGAACCGTACTGCTCCTAATCATTGTAATGTAATAAAAATAGTTATGGTGACTATGAAGTGTGTAATTACTTGTTTTTAATTGTGGTGAGGCTAAAGTCCAGAGCCTCATGTTTGTTAGGCAAGCACTCCACGCTGAACTATACCCCAGCCTGACTATGGGTATATCTTGATGGAAATTTGGAACATCTGCTAGGTAGCTGATAGGGAATCTATAAGCGGACACTTTTTGCAGCTTTAAGTTGGAAAGTTTTTTATTTATAAAGTTGCTAAGACTATTACATAAAAGTGTTTGTTAAACTTGCGGGGCTGTCTGGGCTAGGTCTACTCCACATTACCTCTGTTACAGGCAAACAAAAATATGCCTGCTTTGATGGTGGAAACAGGAACATTACCACTCCTCATGAAAGTTAGTCTAAGCAGGACAAGTGATCTGGGGCTTAAGGGGAGCTAGCAGCACAAAGAATAATAGAAATAATGGCCACATAATGCCAGTCATCTGCTGAGCATGCCAAGGTCAAAGTCACCTTCATATGTTTTATTTTGATAACTGCATTCAGAGTTAAAAAAAAAAACAACTCTGGTTTTTTAAACATGTATCTTGCCATTGTAAGTTGAATTATTTTATAATAGTTGGTACACACAAACAGCTGGCACTGAGTGTAAGCCAGGTGTTGGTGGCAATGATTGGTTAGTTGTTGGTATCTGAATAGTAACGTTGCTTCATAGCTCTGTATTTCCTAAGGAAGTATAAGGCCTCTAGCTCCTTCATTACAAATTCTCCTCGTGCAATAAGCTCTTTGATCTTCTCTGGGTCCTTCACATCCTTGTTTTTAAGGAAAACATTCTTCAAACGCCTTTTAAAATAGTCTGCTCCTTTTGGATAGTCCCGTCCAAGATACAGCAGCTTTAAAAAGAAAGATGTGTTTCTAAGCAATCCATGTCATATAATAATGTATTTGTAAAGTTGGCAGCATAGTTACTTACGTTTTTGTAAAGAGCCAGTACTTCTCCTCGCAAGGAATTGGCCATTTTCACTTAACATGGAATTAATCCACTTTTAGACATAACATACCTAAAGAAAAGGAAGTTTTTGTTTTTTTGTTTTTTTTTTTCAGGTAAATGCTATGTAATCTTAATCACAGATCTTACACATTGGGGAAATGGAAAGCTTGTTTTCCATCTCTGTGTGCAAGTGTGTACTTGCCACAGTGTTCATGTCCAGGCCATGACTGCAGATGTCAGTCCTTTCCATAAACCTTATTTGAGATGTTCTCATTTGCTGCTTCAAACAGCTGGCCCTGTGTTCAGGGATCCCTGCCTCGACATCCCATCTCCCTGTAGGCACACTGGGATTATGGACTGGAGTCTTTACACAGATCTAGTTTGTGCAATTGCTTTACCCACTGAGCCCTCTTACCCCCAGAATGGTGATTTTTTTTTTTTTTTTTTTTTTTTTTTATAATCTAGGCACTCTTAACTTTTCCAAACCTGTTTCCTTACCAAAAGGAAAGCTGTCCACCCCACTCTCAAGGCTAGACTTCATTATGTGGAAGACACTAAGAGTCTAAATCTAGAAAGATGTTTTCAAAGGAAAGTTAAAAACTTAAAAGAACTGGGTGGGAGATCAAAGAGGTTGGCACAATAATGAATAGAGGGTAAATGAAGCATTTGGAAATGATTCCATGGGGAGCAGACAGCCCCTATGGTGTTGACCATGCTTCTTATGCTTAGGTAGCTCAAGCTGCTAAGCAGATGAGCTTGGGAAAGGTCTCATTAGACCAAGCCTAAATATATTCCTATTTCTAACCTCTTACATTGCATCTTTATCAGCTAGGCACAGTTCCATTGTGTTCTGTTACGGCTGATTAAAGTGCTTGCCAGTATTCTCCACTGTAAAATTATTTCTTCCCAGGAACCTAGTTCATGTAGTGGCAAATGAATTTATAAACCACCACGTGGATGGGGTATTTTAGGAACCCCAGTGGTTCTCAACCTTCCTAATGCTACAACCCTTTAATACAGTCCCTCATGTTATGGTGACACTCAACCATAAAATTATTTCATCCCTACTTCATAACTAATTTTGTTATTGTTATGAATCATAATGTAAATATCTGATATGCAGATGGTTTTAGGCAAACCCTGTGAAAGGGTCGTTTGATTCCAAAAGGGTTTCGACCCACAGGTTGAGAAATGCTGTTCTAGAATCTCACTGCAATGGGGACTGCTTGGGCCTCTTAAATACTGAATAAAGGTGTGCACCTGTAGATTGAAGTGCTATAAGCATGTGTGTGTTTTTTATGTTGATCTTTATATAATCCAGTAGCACTTAATTCCCACATTACAGGATTTATTTTCATTTTAGCTTCCTGTCAATAATTCTAAAACTTGTGTCCAACAGTGAACAAGCTGGTTCCCATTATTCTCAATAAATTTACTCTTTTGGATCATAACTTTTCCTTCTACTGTCACCATCTGGCACACTCTCTTCCCCTTCCCACTCCATGTTCCTGGAAGGCTCACCATGTTGCTGTCTTGCCTCCACCCTCTCCACCCAGACAAGTGTCCTCTTGTGCACAAACCACTCTTCCCTGAGACCTGCTTTCCTTTTGAATTCTTTTTTTTTTTTTTTTCCGGGACAGGGTTTCTCTGTGTAGCTTTGCGCCTTTCCTGGAACTCACTTGGTAGCCCAGGCTGGTCTCGAACTCATCCGCCTGCCTCTGCCTCCCGAGTGCTGGGATTAAAGGCGTGCGCCACCACCGCCCGGCAAATTTTTTTTTTTTGGATCCTTTTGAATTCTCAAGGGACCCACTTTCTAGCCCTTCTCTGGTGCAACTTTGCTTAGTGCTACCTAACAACCTTTGGACTGAATTATTCACAAAAACAAAAACAAAATTCAAAGTAGTTTCTTTTTTTAAGATTAATTAAAGTTATTTTACAACTAACTAGCAGAAGATGGGAGGTTCTTGAAATTATAGCGTCATATTCAACCAATAATAATTGTGCTGAGCTAGGTGGAGGCTGAGGCAGGGGAAGATCCCAAGTTTAAGGAGAGCTATGATTGAAATTACACAGGGACACTGTCTTAAAGAAATACTAATAATAGTGCTGAATTGTTTCATTTGGTGAGTTGTACAGATCCTAATTAATTCTGTCTGTGCCCCTTTAAGAATTATGGTGTCCACTTAAGTTTTCTGGGGTGCTAAGTCATAGTCACCCATGTTCTCCAGCTTTTAAAGTCTTACTGCTGTCATCATCTCTCCCCTCTTTAAATTTTATTTTTTCCTGAAGATTTAGTGGAATTCTGGAAGGTATTGAAGCCAGTGTGTTTAACGGACAATATTAACAACTGGAGTGTTTTTAACAGTTTTGCAGGGGTCAGGGGTATAGTCATTGGTCTATCTTGTTGAAGAATGACTGTTAAAAATATGTGGTTTAAAATTAAATTTATATAGATAAAATTTGACAGCAAATTATAGCCCGTTTAATGTCAGCAAAAAACACAGCCTCCTTTAATTGACATTTGTAATTTGTGAAAGCTTGAGCCCTGGCTTAGCTGTCCTTTCCAGTAGTTTTCCCTACAAGTGTTAATAATAAAAAAATTCACCTAGCAAAAAAATGTAGCTAGTGTGGTCAAGGTAGGTTAATCTGGTTCTTTTAATGTTAATTTATAATGCAGTTAATTTGGGGGAATTTTGAGTTTATTTTTGCTGCAAGGAAAAACTAGTTTTCTTTGATTTCCAAACTAGGAAACAAATACTGCATAGATCTGCATGAAGTCTTGGAAGTTATCATGCTGGATGAGTGCATGGCTAGAAGTCACCCAATATGCTGAGAGCTTGGATATGTGTAGTGGGCAAGGAGTTGCAGCCCCCCCCCCCTCCTTTTTCCCCTAGAGACTTTGGGCAAAGGAATTAAGATTGTTTGGGATGAAGGGATTATCATTTTGGTAGGACACTATTATTTTCTAGGATAAGGACTTGATGCCTAATGATGTTATACTGCCCCATGAGGTTCAAGGGACAGGAAATGGAGAAGGAAAGGCAGTGTATTATTAGTTTCTAGGGTGTGTCTAGTAGACTGGGCTTAACCAGTATTTCTTCAAACTGCACTGGAACAGCTATCCCAACAGATTTCCCAGAGGCTGTGCAAACAGAGAGGGAGCAGGCATGCTCCTTGGTAGATGGGACAAGGGACATGAAAGGAGATGGATCTATACTTTTAGCAGTACAACTGTGGGAAGGTAGAGACTGGAAAGCAGCCTTCCTACCATTTACAAGCATGGACAATGAAGCCCAAGGAAACCCACTTACAGCCTAAGAGCTTCTAAACATGAATGGTCTTGCCGCCTGGGTTCTAACACATCTCTACTGTTCATTTCCCTCTTCCTTAGGGGAGAGGTTGATGGTGGTTTTGAGTAAGGCCTTCTCTCCTAAGTCACCATTTTAAGATATTCTAGTTAGGACCTAGGTATCACAAAACAATAGCGGTAGCTTTATTGAATAATTCAAAACAAAAGCTAACTTCCATACTCAACAGCTATAGTATAAGCTAAATTTGAACTTGTATGCAGTGGATGGTGAGCTTTTAATCTCATTACCAAGGTTCGGAGGGCAGTAAGTAAGGTCATAACTGTTATGCAACCAACAACTTTTAACTCACAAAAACTAGCTGTCAGTACGACTTCCGAATTTAGTCAGTGTGTAAGGGATAGAACATTAAATTGGAATTTACTCATCTTGTGTTTACTAGGTTAGGCCGGTCTTAAGCTGAGGTTGGGACAAAGAACTGACTCGGTTCCTTCTCCTTTCCTGTTGGTGTAAGGTGCCATTTCTTCATATGGGGAGGGGCTCAAACTCTGAAGACTGCCACAACAGTACAACCGAGTCTTTGACCTTGGGACAATAAGGGCTTGCTGGACCTTAGCCGTCTTCACTGGAATAGTTTGCCCGGGAATTAATTCAAGTCGCTTTCAACTCTTGTGTGGAGTTGCCTAAGCGACCCGCTCAGAGCCGATGGCTTCACCCAGTCGCAGGCTGGAGCCATTTCTTCCCCAGATTCCCGGGGAATGGCTTGCCCCGGCGCACAGAAGCGAGGGAGAAACCCCCTTACAGAGCCGGGCTTTACCCCAGCTTGCAGGAGGAGGCAGGAGGAGGCCCGCGAGTTCCAGGTCAGCCTGGGATATAGTGTGAGAACAAAGAGCTCCCCTCCCACGAGCAGCCGCCCTCTCCTAAAGCATACTTCACCACCTGCAGCCCCGGGATCCGGAAAACAAGCCGCTCGCACAGCTGCACTCCAGCGCTTTGCGGCATCCGGGTCGTAAACGCTCTGACAGCATCGCCCTTGATGGGCGGGGCGCCTGCCGGAAGTAAGCGGGCTGAGGGCTCTGCGGGGATGGGGCGGGGCGCCAGGCAGAAGTGGGCGGGGCTTGAAGTAGCTTTCTTTGGTGGTGGCGGGGCGGCAGACGGAAGTGGGCGGCCTTAGGTGGTGAGGGCGGGGCTTGTGTCGGAAGTGGGATGAAGCTTGAGCAACCAGTCTACGGCAAGAGCCAGACTCACACCGAAAGGCTACAGTGCGACTGCGCAGGCGGACCCTAGCCGAGCGCTGGGATTTGTGAGTGGGCGTGGCCTGTCGTCCTGACAACCGTGAGCGTTCTGACACTGTCGAGTTCAGACTTTTCCCTCCGCGAAGGTCCTTCTCTCATGGTAAGCCGGAAAAATAAGGGAGGCGAGCAGGGGCCAGCGCGGATTTCGCTGCAGCGCTGCTGAAGGTGGACAGGCTCCCGATTGACAGGAGGGGAGCAGGCGGACGGGCGCAGCCTCAAGCCAGCTTGTGCAAACCTGAGGTGGCGGGATCTGCATCTCTCCTGTAGCTATACTTGAAACTTGGTTCTTACCTAGTAACTACTGGTGATGCACGTTCAAGGCGATGCAACCTGTCAGAAATGTTTTCAGACCAGCAGTGGATGGCTTAGTCGGCTTTGAAGTTACTTTGGTCTTTCGAAGGAACCTAAATTGTTTTGGTTCCAGGTAGTCAGCCTACACTCCTTCAATATAATAAAGCTTGCTGTTTTGTTTTTCTTCCAACTCTCCCATCTTCACCAAGGAGGCAGACCAGCATGGAACTAACGACGTGTACTGTTTCCCGTTCTCCACCAAGAGACAGTCTGCTGTCACATTCGTTGGACTTGGAGAATGCAATTGCTAGTTCTGTAATGGACATTCAGTGTACATTCTTTAAGATTGCTGGCTGGAAGTCAGAGACAGAGTATGGCAGCCCTCCTGCAGCAGGCAGATTAAGCAGAGTAACTGCCACAGCTTTACCATGGTAACAGCTGGTATATCTGGAGCAGTAAATAAGTTATCAAGGGCAGGGAAAGAAAGAGTGCTACTTCTCAACCTCTTTTAAAATATAAATATTAATTTTCTGTAAGTGTTGGGAAGAAATGGGTAGAGAACTCCTCTGGAAAAACCCCATGGGGTCTTAAGTTAAAACTGCTAGAGACTGAACGTCTGAGGTCAGACCGTTGGCCTGAGGGTATTTATCCAGATCTCTCTACTTCGAATAGTTCCTTGGGGTGTAGCAGTGTGACCTCATTTTTTTCACATGATGTTTATTTTCTTTGTGAGGGTCTGTATTCAAGATTTCTCTTTGTACATGGGTACCAGCCATAATGATCCAGAGGTGCACCCAGTTCCAATATGAGGTCATCTTAATTTGGTGAAATCATCACTGACCCTTTTTCTAAGTAGGTAGAATGCTGACATACAAGAAGCTAAGATTTTAGTGTGTGAATTTGAAAAGAAATAATTTAATCCCTCAATCTAAGGAATTATAAAACAGGAAGGGAAGTGACTACATACACTGTAAGTCCAGGAGTATGATTTCTCAAAAAGCTTATCCTTCAAAAAGCAGCGACACCCTTCAATGCTTAAGTTTTGAGAACAGTTTTACCCCTTGGTGGCTCTTACGTTTACATAAAGAACAAGGGTGGGACTTTTCCCAAACCAGCTTCATGTTAGAAATACTAGTGAGAGCTAAGAATGTGCCCATCCTCTTTAAGAATGGCCACTTGAGAGTACGGCAGGAATGTTTATACAGTCTGCCACATAGTGTTTGTTTCAAGAAGGAAGTGTGTTAACCAGTGTGACAGGGAGTGAATAGCCAGGATAAAAGCCAGCTGTAAAAATTCACATGAGAGCAAAGCCACCATTGTTCTTCTCTCTGTAGCTCTAGCTAGACTTTAGAGTGCCTTACAGGTAAATCACCAGTAAATATCTACAGAGTGAATTTCTGAAACGTGTGCACCTTTCAGAAAGATGTCATTTGGTGTATTCTGACTTTAGCACTTGCATATTACAATGATACAATGATGCCTTTATGGCTTGAACCAGTATTTCCTATAGCTCTTCAGATATGTAAAATGTGTAACTTAAACCAACACGGTCCCTTACAAATTCTTTACTAGAAAGCTGATGGACAGACAGGACTGCTCAGGAATTTACAAATAGTATTGCCCAGAAATGCTTGTAGTTGTTAATCAGTATTGAAATACTGTGCTTTCCAAAATGGGCAGATCACTTTAAAACATGTGGCTGGACAGTCTTCATTTTATCATTGCTTGGCAAACTTTAAAAAATGGGTTGCATCCCCATAAAAACCATTAATCTTATGTAATAGAAAGGTTCCTTTATGAGACAGCCCCCGAATTTGCAAATTCAACATTGTACAAGTAGTCAGTAATTTGTGGGGATTTGGAGAATCCTTTCAACTAGTCCTTCTTTGACTGGCGCTCATTTTGTAGGCTCTTGGGCTGACGTAAGCAGTGTTGGCTCTACTTCGGAAGGATGCTTCACGGGGAGATCTTGTGGGTTTTCCTGCTGGAGCTTTCAGTTTGTTCTGGCTGCTTTTTACAGCATTTTTTCAGTTTAAAGGAACTAAAGAGTCACAGAAAAGTGACAAAGAAGGTACAAAGGGCATCCCCTTGGGCCCTTCACCAGCTTATCCTAATTAATGTTTTATGCAATGCTTTGTTGAAAGTATCCGAATTCTTTTTAAAATATGTCAATGCTTTTGTTTCCCAACTGTTTAGGGTCCCAAACCAAAAAAGGTATGTAGAAATTATGTTTCCAAAATAGATAGTTTTGTGAATATATTGTATAAATGAACTTCTTATGGAATTTTAAAATAATTTTCTAGTTATAGTTTATAGAATTTAATAATAATATAATAATAAGCTCACTCTTTAGATAATAAAGTTACTTAAATCATGGGATCATTCTTCACAGTTACAGATGTATCTCACATTCGATGATATTTCTAGTTTGAAGAGGACACACTTTATAAATTGCCTTTAGTTCTGACCTGTGCCTGGATTTGAGGCTTCAGTTTTTTATGTCCACTGTAGAATATGATGGGTTAGACCCTCCTTTCCTTACTCCAGATGAACCTAAAATGTGGTTATAGACCTGCTGTGAGTGACCCAGGGACTGCAGGGCAGCACATGCTTGCGGTTTTCTGTGTTCGTTTGTACAGGGCAGAAATTGAGGTTGGCTAAAGGACATGCTACCCCATGTGTCTGGAATACTGAGGTTGGCTAAAGGACATGCTACCCCATGTGTCTGGAATATTGAGGTTGGCTAAAGGACATGCTATCCCATGTGTCTGGAATATTGAGGTTGGCTAAAGGACATGCTACCCCATGTGTCTGGAATATTGAGGTTGGCTAAAGGACATGCTACCCCATAGTTTGGATGTCTTTTCCCTCTTTACTTTATAGATTTCTACTTTAAAGCAGAAATTTTAATCCTTAGTTACAGGCCAGATTTAGCTTATCAGTATATTCAGGTTTACTTGAAAATTTTTTTCTTTCTTTTTTTTTTTTTTAAATCACTTCTCAAGTGTGGCATGATGTCTCACACCTGTGATCCCAGCTACGGTGGAGCTTGAAATAGGAAGGTCATGAGTTTGAGGACAGCCTACTCCACAAAGACAAAAACAAAACAAAACAACAACAACTACATATGGCCAGACATTGTCCCCCAAAATAAAGTGTAATAAAATGATAAAAAAAAAAAAGCAGCTGCATTTGTCCTAGTCATGAAATATCCAAACTGACCACACTGGGCCTCAAGTCCTGTAAGCAGCAGTTTGTGGGGCTCAGCAGTGGCTGCCTCTTTCAGGAATGCAAAAAGCATCTTGATCTCATCGCAGTTCTGTCTTTGTTTACCTTTCAGAACTCTTTGTTTACCTCTCTGAACACAACAGGAGCATAGGCTTAATGTACCTGCTTTAAAGCATATCAGCGGTCCGTTCTCCATAAATTTTCCTACCGCTCTTCCTTGAAAACTCAGTTACATCCAACCCTCCTTGTCTGTAGGTCCTGTATTCATGCATTAAATCAAACAGATTAAGACTCTTCTTCAGTAGTGTGACCAGAAGGTTGGGTGTGGTGGTACTCTCATGTGATCCCAGTGCCAGAGGACCACAAGTTCTAATCTAGCATCAGCTGCACAATGAGACCTGTCTCAAAAGCGGGGGTGGGGCATGGGGGTGGGGGTGGGGGGATGAGGGGTGGATAATGGGGGTTAGAGAGATGAGCACTTGATGCTGTTGCAGAGGACCTGAGTTTGGTTCCCAGCATCCACATGGTGGCTCTTGACTCTGTAACTCTAGTTCCAGAGGATCTGACACCCTCTTCTGGCCTCTGTGAGCACCAGACATGCACATGATACACAGACATATATGTAGGCAAACACTCATACACATATAATTTTTTAAATTAAATGTGGTAATAACATGTACTGTGTGTCTTGGAATGCTAGAAGAAACAATTTGGAATGTTTGGTGATAAAGAAATAAATACTTGGGAAATCCCATCTATAGAGAACACATGCAGATTTTCCATGGAGTTATTCCTGAACAGTAAATGTAGCAGCTGCCTAGATTGGATGTGGTAGCGTGTAGGAGAAGATATACATAGGTTGCATGCAAATACTGTCTCTTTATATGTGACCTGAGTATGTGAACTTTGGCCTTCATAGAGACCTGTAACTAATATTAAGGAATGACTGTCTACTCTCTGGGTTCTCCACACATGCATTAGAATGAACCTCAGTTATAAGTCTTGGATCATGTTGTGTATGTGCATGTTTGAGTGCATGAAGAAATGCCAAGACACACGTGTCAGTCAGAGAACAGCTTATAGGAGTCTGCTCTCTCCTTCTACCATGTGGCGCCCAGAGATTGAACTGAGATTGGGCAGCAGGCTTGGCAGCAAGTGTCTTTACCTCCTTTCAGCCTGTGAGCTATTTATGACCAGGACCATGTCTTCTGAGGCCTTGTGTACACTAGGCAAATGCTCTACCACTGAGCATTCACCAGTCCTTATCACATTTATTTCTGTATTTATAACATTTAGTGCTGTGCCTGCTTTAGAGTGGAAATGGAATCAATGTTTGTTGAATAAACATGTGGAAGCTCATTGAATCTACAAACACATGGGCTCTTGATGGCTCAGAAGGAATGCTTATGTGAATATGTACTGAGTATACAAGTAAACATCTTTTCAGGAAATGCTACTGCGTGCTTTCTGCGTGCTTTCTGTGTTTGTGTGGCAGTTACTAGGATGCACTGCCATGCTCCTCTACACCTCAGCAGGAGCTCCAGCCTCTGTGCCTTCAACTCTGACCCCTCTGTGGGTCTCCAGCTCCCTCCCTGGTGGCTGCATGGCCCTGATGTCCCCTTCCCCTGAATGTAAAGATTCCTTGAACACAAGCTAAGTAGCGCTTGCTTTGTAGACCTTTACTTGACCTGTGTGACAAAAAGAATCTCTCCTCCCTCTAAACTCGCAAAGTAACTAAAAGCCTGCTAGTCCTAAAAATATCTTCGATGTTTATAGATGGGTAGTTTCAGACTTCCATCATGGGTGTTTTCCTTGCTTCCAACACTGGAAGCTCAACAGTTACTTCACTCACACATTCTTTGTATGATTGTATGATTATTTTTCTTGTTTATTTTCAGACTAATCTCTGCAGTGCCCAGAGTCTATGCTGGGCACTAATTGGCTGTCTTACCCATTGAATTAATATACATGAAAAATTGGTTTCATAAAATCAATAATTATTTTCATAATTGCTAGTTTTAAGATTTATTTTTTAAATATATGTGTATGTGTGTGGGCCTGTGTGATTTTATATTCACCACTGGTGCCTGAAGAGGCCAGAAGAGGGCATTAATCTCCTGGAGTGGAGTTACAGGCAGTTTGGAACTACCTAGCAGGGGTTCTGGGAAGAGCAGTAGTGTGCTTGCCTGTGGGCCGTCACTCCAGCGGCTAGTAACCACTGTTTGAAGGGACGCATTCTCAAATGACTTGTGCTGACAGCCTCTTTAATGTTGTTGTCTTCGTTAAGATTTCCAGCAAGAAAAAGATCACCAAAGCTGAGCGACTTCGGCTGCTGCAGGAGGAGGAAGAGAGGCGCCTGAAGGAGGAAGGTACTGAAGGCAGCGCCGGACCCCTAGGATATGGGGCATTAGCCAGAGGTTGATAGCCATGCCGCGCCAGACCACCTAGCCCAGGACATTAGGCAGAGGTGATATCAACACAACCACTCAGTGTTTTCAACAGGCTTTAATTTTATAATGGATTTCTACTATGCAGCGTGTACTCAGAAAGACCCATCAGTGCACATTCAGACCGCACACAGTCAGATCCGAGTGTGCACGGAAGCCATGCTGTGAGACAGAGTTCAGGACTTGGAAGTCCGGTCTGACAACCCGCTGAGCTTTTGACCTTTTACCCCACACAATATTTGGCTGTATTTAAATTAACAACAACAACAAAAATTTCTTATCAGAATTCACATCCAGCTGATCAGCCCATATTTTAATTTGCTAATTTTGTCAAGGCTGCCATGAAATGTTTATAATTCACTAATGAAAATAAGGACATTAGTGCTGATTATGTATGTGGTAAGAAGTCTGAAATTTATTAACAATGAGAAATACACACTAGCAAAAAGTATGTAAACAGCCTAACTTTTTTTAACCCAGGGTTTTTTTTAAAGATTTATGTTATTTATTTTTGATTATGTGTATATGTATGTCTGAATATGGGTATGCACAAGTGACATCAGGCACCCACAGGGGCCAGAGGTGTTCCATCCTCTGCAGCTGGTTTCAGGCAGTGTGAGCTGCATGATATGGGTGCTGAGAACTGAACTTGAGTCCTATACAAGAACAGTACATGTTCTTAACTCCTGAGCCCAACTTTTTGATGTTTAACAATATCTGTTTGCCTTTTTTTTTTTTCTTTCCGAGACAGGGTTTCTCTGTGTAGTTTTGGTGCCTGTCCTGGATCTCACTCTGTAGACCAGGCTGGCCTTGAACTCATAGAAATCTGCCTGGCTCTGCCTCCTGAGGGCTGGGATTAAAGGTATGCACAACCACCACCTATTTACCACTTATTAAAATTAAACGTTGATAAAAAATATTGGATGTTTGAAATATTAGAAAGCAGTTTTTAAAATCTGGTGCTCCTGATAGTCAGGGATATTAGAATTCAGTGACTGTAGATTTATATTCAGATTTTTAAAATACTCTATTGACTTTTAATGAATACTTTATCTTTTGCAGGTAGTAAAGCACATTCTTTTGGTTTTTTTTTTTTTTTTTTTGGTTTTTCGAGACAGGGTTTCTCTATGTAGCTTTGCGCCTTTCCTAGGACTCACTTGGTAGCCCAGGCTGGCCTCGAACTCACAGAGATCCGCCTGCCTCTGCCTCCCAAGTGCTGGGATTAAAGGCGTGCGCCACTACCGCCCGGCCCCGTTCTTTTGTTTTCTAACTGATGTTTTTAGATTTGTTTATTTATTGAGGGCACTGGTACTTTGCCATGTGCATGGAAGCCAGAAGACAACTCTTGGGAGTCCTTTCCTTTCATATGGGAATCTAGGGACCCAGCTCGGGTCAGCAGACAGCTTGGCGGCAAGTGCCTTTGCCATCTGAGTCACCCTGCTGGCCTTTATCAGTCCCAGCACTCATGAGATGGAGACAGGTGGATTCTGTGAGTTCAAGGCCAGCCTGGTCTACTGAGCGAGTTCCAGGACAGGACAGGCTTCAATGCTACAGAGAAACCTTGTCTCGATAAACAAAATGAAACCAAAGAATCTAAAACATTGTGGTTGAATATCTGCAGTTAACTCTTGATTTCTTTTTTGGCTCTTCAGAGGAGGCTCGACAGAAATTTGAAAAAGAAGAACAGGAGAGGCTAGAAACACAGCGGATTGAGAAAGAGAAATGGCGTCAGCTGGAAAAGAAAGTGAGTGTGAGCAGCAGTGTCAGTGGTGTTGATACACACACACACACACACACACCGAGTCTGTAGCCGCAGCAACGCCCAGCCCTACGGTGACCGTCGGCCATCACCTCCCACACGTTGTCAGGGGCATGAGTGCCACTGATTTAAAAGGGGGGTGGTGGTCTCTCTATGCAGCTCTGGCTGTTCTGGAACTCTATGTAGACCAAGCTGGCTTCATACTCACAGAGCTCTGTCTGCCTTTGCCTCTCAGGTGCTGGGATTAAAGGCACATGTCACTGTACCTGGTGGCGTTGGTCATGTTTTTAAAAAATCTCTTTAGCATCTAGCTCACCAGAAGACACCTGGGTTCTCATGTTGATGTCAGCATTTTGTTAGATGTTTCAACAGAACTATGAAGAAAAGCTCATCTTGGACAGATAGATTACGGAATTGGGGGAGAGGATGCAACAGGGCTCGGAGGTGTCTCAGGTGGGAAGCGCCTGCCTTGACACTGCCATCTAAGCTCTATATGAAAATCCAGCTGTACGGGCTGCCTGGAGCTCCGGCACTGAGGGCAGAAACAGGTGGATCCATCCCTGCAGCTCACGGCCAGCTAGCCTAGCCAAACTGACGAGCTTCAGTTTCGTGAGGGACCCTGCCTCAAGACAGAGAGTGACGAGGGAACAACACTTACTGTCAACATCTGCCCGTGTAAACACACCACCCCACACACGCGCACACCTCTCACATGTGCTCACACCCACAAAGTGGGAAAACACCCTCCTAGCCTTCCAGATACTGTGGCGTTCTGGACACTGCACCTCAACTAAGTGTTGACTGCTGCCGCTGTGTCCTCTCTGTGACAGAGCTGTGCCGTGTGGCTGAAGACAGAATCAAACTTCAGTCTCCAGTGATGTTCCTGCTTCCGCTTCCGGAGTAGCTGGGACCACGGGCACATGGCACCCTCCCCAGCTTTACAAGTGAGCTTCACGATGTGGAATCTGAAGCTCCGTTAGTGAGCACACACCCTGCTAGTGGACACACACCCCGTCAGTGGACACACACCCCGTCAGTGGGCACACACCCCGTCAGTGGACACACACCCCTGCTAGTGGACACACACCCCGTCAGTGGACACACACCCCTGTCAGTGGACACACACCCCTGTCAGTGGACACACACCCCTGTCAGTGGACACACACCCCTGTCAGTGGACACACACACCCATTAGTGGGCACACACCCTGTCAGTGGACACACACCCCTGTCAGTGGGCACACACCCCTGTCAGTGGACACACACCCAGTTAGTGGACACACACCCCTGTCAGTGGACACACATCCCTGTCAGTGGGCACACACCCCTGTCAGTGGGCACACACCCCTGTCAGTGGGCACACACCCCTGTCAGTGGGCACACACACCCATTAGTGGGCACACACCCTGTCAGTGGACACACACCCCTGTCAGTGGGCACACACCTTGTTAATGGGTACACACCCTTGTCAGTGGGCACACACCCTGTTAGTGGGTACACACCCTTGTCAGTGGGCACACACACCCATTAGTGGGCACACACCCTGTCAGTGGACACACACCCTGTCAGTGGGCACACACACCCATTAGTGGGCACACACCCCGTCAGTGGACACACACCCCTGTCAGTGGGCACACACCTTGTTAGTGGGTACACACCCTTGTCAGTGGGCACACACACACCGTTAGTGGGCACACACCTTGTTAGTGGGCACACACACCCCGTTAGTGGGCACACACACACCGTTAGTGGGCACACACCCAGTTAGTGGGCACACACCCAGTTAGTGGGCACACACCCAGTTAGTGGGCACACACCCAGTTAGTGGACACACACCCCTGTCAGTGGACACACACCCAGTTAGTGGGCACACACCCCGTCAGTGGGCACACACACCCCTGTCAGTGGACACACATCCAGTTAGTGGGCACACATCCCGTTAGTGGACACACACCCCTGTCAGTGGGCACACACCCAGTTAGTGGGCACACACCCCGTTAGTGGACACACACCCCGTCAGTGGACACACACCCCGTTAGTGGGCACACATCCCGTTAGTGGGCACACACCCCGTTAGTGGGCACACATCCCGTTAGTGGGCACACACCCCGTTAGTGGG